GGGCAGGGGACTGGTTGGAAGGATAAATCTACTCATCAGAATCAGGTCCCGATGGGAAATGAAACCAGACCGAGAGCAACAAGGTCAGAAGACTGGGCTTGGGTGAGCAGGTCACAGAGCCCAGCTTGGTACCATCTCTGAGCTCACTTTAGACGTGTGAGGAGAGGGCTTAGACTCGTAGTTCCTGAATGCCTCCTGTGGGCCAGGACTGTGCTGTGTGCAGGCGCCCACACCCTGCAACTGCCGCTGCAGTTCTGGGGTGCATGCCCTTAGCCTTCACCTCACGACAGAGGAAGCCCCGGCTCAGAGTTCAGCTGGCTTGCCAGTGGTCACACGCTGCTTTCAGGGTGGAAGTCTGTTCACCTGCCTTCAAAGCTGCTTTGTCATTTCAGGCCCCAGTGAGTTTCCTTCTGCCCAAGAACATTTGTATTTATTTGGATTTTGATAAGCAGTGGATTTTGAAACGCAGTCTGTTTTTGATGCTTTTGCTGGGAGTGATTATGCAGCCTGGATAGCAGTAGGGGGGCTTCCTAGGGAAAGGTGGGGCTTCCTTGACAAAGAACTCTTGGTTCCCTGAGGTCTTGGCTTTCTGACTTTTGTCTGTACTGGCACCTGGGACATGCACCTCTGTGACCCGCCGCACCTTGCTGTGCATCCCAGGTGGCGACGTCAGGGCACACACTCCCTGCTGTGGGCACTCCCACTGCTGGCTGGCCCTGAGCAACTGCTTTCTCTGGTTGCCAGTTCCATTGTGATCAACCCAGCCTGCTTGTGTTGGCTGGTTTCCTGCCCCATTGGGCAGGGCATTCTAGCGTCTGTGAGTCCTGCAGGGGACTTTCCTGTGGGCCACTTCTTTCTAGGAGGGATTCAGAAGCTGCACACCTGTTAAGATCTGTCTATGGCCCTGTCTTGACCTGAGCTTTCAGGAAGATTCCCGACTGAGTGGGGATGTCAGGGACAGGAATGGAAGTGTGGGCAGTGTGCTCTGGCTTTTTAGAGTGGGTGTGTGTGCTCTTGTAGGGGGGCAGGGGTATCATAATTCGGCCGTGGCAAACTGCCATTTTAAGCAGAACCAGAATAGCTGGCACCAGTTGTTAACCAATTGGTAGATATAACTACTGCAGTGAGGTCTTTCAGGCTGAGTTAAAGAAACCACACGGAGAGAAAAATCCCAGACCATCTTCTCCCACACTCCCCTCCTGTGCCCAAGCCCTCTGTCTTCAGTGGGGATTTCCATCCCTCACAGGTTCCCCCAAGGGATTTCTAACCCCTCACAATCTTATGTTTTCCTGGAAGGCACCGTGGTGGCACCAAAGACCAACCTGGGGGGCTTTAGTTCTCCTCCTCAACTCCCATTCTTTTTCATTACAACCAATTCAAATAATCTCAAATCAACATGCAATCTTAATAAAAACAGAGTACTTTCTCCACAAGCAGGCTGTCCAGGGAAGTGCTACTCAGACTTTAAGGTGCACATATATTACCTCGGAATCTTGTTAAAATGCACTCAGGTTCCGGAGTGGGGCTCCAAGGCCCTGCATTCCTAAGCAGCTCCTAGGTGCTGCTCATGGGGAACCACGCTCTGAGTATGGAAACCCCAGGTGGCCCCACCTCTGCCTGCCTTCAGCCAGCTAAGCCCCTTCTTCATAGGACTCCCTGAAGCTGCTGCTGTGTGAGTGTCTGAAGGAAGAGGGGAAGGATGTCTCGACATGTGCCTGCTCCTTGGCCAACACTTCTTGCTTTTTCATATTCCTCTTCTCTCTGAATTATAATTCTTTTATTTATATCCCCTTTGCTCTCTTCTCTCTTGCTTTCTCCCAGGGGCTCACTGATACAGCCAGGCCACATAAGGCATAGTTAGTGGGGATTTTGTTCCATTTTGGTACAATGTGATTCCCCTGTGAAGGCTGAATTTTTCTCGCCTTAATCCTCAGGCATCTTTTATTTCTGGCTGCTTCTCTTGTAATTCCTGATGTTACTCTGCAGTCAGAGGGAGTGTGGGCTTGAGGAGCAGAGTGGCTTGACTACCACCACATACACACACGCATGCACGCACATGCGCACACATGGCCTCTGGGTTCTGCCAGGAACTGTCAGGAGTCAAGTTCCTCTCTGGGCCTTGGCTTCTTTATGTCTATACCATGTGGTTGAGCTGGCAAATAGCGGAAGGCCCCTCTGTTTTTAACACCCTTTGATTCTGATTAATCAACAAGCATATTTTAGGTCCTCTGAACAGAATGTGAAGAACATTTTTTAACCTAACTCTACCCCTTCCTGCTGTGTGTCTTTGGGATGATCATTTACTTTCTCTGGGCCCTTGTGCCATGTTTACCTGTTGAGTGATGATGAGAGTCACCTGACCTGGGCAAGTTAGGACATGAATAGGGCCTTAGATGTAAAGGTGCCTAGCATAGTTTTTGGCAAAGTAAGCATCTTAGCTTGACCTGCTATAATAAAGTACCATGGACTGAGTGGCTTAAACAACAGGCATTTATTTATCTCAATTTTGCAGGCTGGGAAGTCCCAGATCAAGATGCTGGAAGATTTGTTTTTTGTAAGGGTCCTCTTTCTGGCTTGCAAAGGGCAACCATTTCATTGTGTGCTCACATGATCTCCTCTGTGCATGTATGTGTGTGTGTGTGTGTGTGTGTGTGTGTGTGTGTGTGTGGAGAGGGGTGGGGCTGGGGAGGGAGAAGGAGAGGGAGAGGGGACACTCTGGTGTCTCCTCCTTTTTTGGTAAGATCCCAATTCCACTACGGGAGCACTAGCCTCATGACTTCATCTAACCCTAATTACTTTTCAAAAGCCCCACTATCACATCAGACCTTAGGGCCTCCACATATACATTTTGGGGGGAAACAAACATTCTGTCCATAACGATAAGGATTGTTCACTATGGTTGAATTGGTTTGCTTATCTGGGAGGAATCAACAGACTTCGTACCACGTGTTAGGAGCAGTGAAGTCGTACTGCAGAGGTGTAGGAAGAAAGCAGATGCAGTCCCTGCCCCCCTCCTGTCAGCCGGCATAGAGACTGTAGCTTAGAGGGTGTATGGTAGCAGGCAAGGAGACTAGGGAGGGCAGATCCTAGGGTCTGAAAAAGAAAGAATGCAGAGGGGTGGGGATGGTGAGTGGGGAGGACATGCCTGGAATCAAAAAGCAACTCCCGATGAGTAGGCATTGGCAGGAGGCCCCAGAACGCCCTCTGACCCTTCAGACCTGAGAATGCACGTCTATGGAGGGACAAAGGCAAGAGGGGTAAGAATATGGAATGGCAGCGCCTGACTCAGGGGCTCTGGATGATAGAGATGTCTGGGACTTTTGATGGGTTGGGGGTGAGCATGAGGAAGCCCAGAGACAAACTGTTTGACTCCTTCAGCGTCTTAACCATTCTGTGGGAAACTGGAAAGTACTGAGTGGCTGTACAGAGAAGGGCAGCTATGATAACAAGGAGTTTCATCCTAGATAAGGGTAATAATGCTGGTGATGACACCCTGAATGTGTCTGGACATTTTGCGAAGGGGTGGAATTGGTGCCCTTATTAGTATAATTTTTGTTAAGATTCCAAGATTCCTTCTTGGTGTCATCTAAGAAAAGTCTGTTGAAAAAATACAGTATGCAGATTACTGGTCAGTGACATGTAACTATGCTGCTGCCTTCTGCTTCTGCTGAATTACTGTCATGACCACATAGGCAAGTCATGAAACACTTATTTGAGATTTAGTTATTTCATCTGGAAATGAAGGGTGACCTTTGTGATCCTGGTGGGCACATTCCCTTAAATATTAGATGGCTCCCAACATTGCTCACAAAAATAAAGTAGTATTGGTGGCATTTTTGCCTGACACTTTGTAGGGTCCAGGACACCTCAAGATGTGCCTCTGTGGTATGAGGATTATTTTGAGCTAAAAGCAACTGAGACCCTACGGGCTTAAGAGAAATATTTGTCCTTCCCCCTTCTCTCCTTTACTATGTATTTAAATTAGGGGCCTGGCCCATGCTAAGAGTTATCACCACGAATAACATTTTATGACCTATCTATGCAGCAGGGCAAACTACTAATTATTGAACATGCGCTCTTCCCTGCAATTACCTTCTGAAACCCCAAGGTGCCTTACTTTATAGCTCAGAATGTCATATAATACCTCATTTTCCCCTTCTGCCCCTTAACCTCTAAGGCACGTGGGGGTCTCATACGGAGCTCCCACCCACAGGTATGTAATTAAATTTGGTCATTTTTCTTGCTACTCTGTCTCATGTCTATTTTATTTATTGATTGATTGACTTTAGAGGGAGGGTGAGAAAGGGAGAGAGAAACATTGATTTTGTTGTTTGAATTATTCATACGTTCATTGGTTGACTATTGTATGTACCCTGACTCGGGATAGAACCCGCGACCTTGACCTATGGAGACACGTTCTAACCCGCTGAGTACCCTGCCAGGGCTGTTTCACCTCCAACTAGAGCAGTGGAAAGTACCTTGAGGGTAGAGGAAAGTTTCTTCCTCCCCCAAGAGCTGTAGTGGAGACACTTCTGTAGGGGGAGGGGAGGATGGGGATAGTATTTCCATTAAGTGAGTTTTCATGTCCCTTTGTCACTGACCTCTGTGGAAGTATCCAGGTAAAACAAAGGACAACTTCAAAAGCCCCTTTAGAGTCCCATTTTAGGTCGTTTATTTCAATCAGTTTGTAGTGCTCGGCAGGCCAACTCTCTCAAAAGCTACAAGTGCCCTTTGGTTTTTAAAAAGGCAGCCTGAAGCAGAGGTTAGTGACCCGCCGGGGAAGGAGGGCCAGGGTGCCAGCCGGGCGAGTCCGCAGGCGACGCGCACGCACCGTGGATCCCGGGGGAGGCGTGCGCCCGGCGGGCAACGGGGCCGCGCACGCCGGCCGAGGAGCCATTTCCGGGCGGGGAGGGGCGGGGCGGCTCGCGGCCGGGCCTCTAATCTCGGCGGCGGCGGCGGCCGCAGGGGGAGCCCGAACCTAGCCACTCACCAATCGGTGGCACGGAGAAGACCCTCGCTGGCGAGGGTGTCCGAGGGAAGGAGCGGGGAAGCTGGTTCCGGGCTGAGGAGGTGGAGGGGTCCGCCCGGCTCCGCAGGAGGGAGGATAGTCGGGTTTGGGGAGGAAGGCTCCGGTCGGGACCGAATGGGAGGTGGGTCCTGGCTTGGGAGAGGCGAGTAGGGTCCAGACTTGGAGGGTAAGGGGTTCGGGTAGGAGGGGTAAAGAGAGTAGGAAGGGGCCCGCGGGGACTGAGGGGCTAGCCCCTGAGGGCGGGCTCCGCTTCGGGCGTAAGGGGGCGCGTCGACCCCTGAGGTCTGAGTGAATGCAAGGTTCACGAGCGGGTGGGAGAGGATGCCAGGGCCGGGAGGGAGCGGGATCTGAAACTTCACTCCCACGGACTGCTAGGGCTGGAAGACTTGCTGATCTTCCCGAGAGGGGAAAGGGTTCTAGGGAGGGAGGGCTATAGAGAGCGAAGCCAGCTGTTAATAAAGAGAGTTCTGTGGCTGCTGGACCCAGGGACTGGGCCGCCTTTAGAGTCCGATTCTCCGCGGGGTTAGGTTGAATGGGCTGAGTTCGAGGTTTCCGGGCCGTGGTCCGGGCGGGCTGGGCAGTACCCCTGGTACCTACCTGGGGGCACTGCTTTGTGCGAGGCTGGGTCTGGATTCGTTTGGTCAGCTGTCGGAGGGAAGCCTAGTGCCAGCAGGGTTCTGATTCGCTGCTTTGGGGTGCTGGGGGTGGAGTGTGATATCTGGGAGTGAAACCCGAGCTCTCAAAGGAGGGAGAGAACCATTTCTTGTCTGCTCTAGCTAATCTAGGCGGGTCGACGCGATAGTTAAAAGCTTTAGAAGTAAACAAACCTGGTTCCCTTTCGCAGAGGGGAGGCCCTGAAAGTGCGGCTGGAAGAGGACGATGCCGAGTATGGACCTTCTGATGTTGGTGAGTCTTTTCCCAACATCCTCCTCGTTGTAAGGCACTTGTCCCTTAAGTTTTATTTTTAGTCCGAGGGATCTTAGTGTGTAGCTTTCACAACCCTGATGCTTGCTTTTGGTAGCTGAGCGTTTCTGCCACCTCTATTTTGGGCTTCACGATTAAGATGGAGAAATAACTTAATTAAATGTGACTATTTAATATACATGGAAAAGAATCTTTTTCAAAATTCTTACGGTTTTAATCTCTCCCTTCCCGTATTACCAGGGCAGTTTTAAAACTTCTGTTGGAGTCTGCCATATATTACAGTTTAGAAGTGTTTGTCTCCCAGAGTAGAGTTGTGATCCCCAGGAAGGCAGACATGTCTTATTTATATAGGCATGAATTAAGACATGAATAAACATCCATCGTGGTGCTCTGTAATGGTAAGTGCTTCACAAATGCTTGTTGAACTGAATTAGTGTAAATTGAAGTGTTTTGTTGGGCTGAGGAACATACCTGCTTTGGCAGAGGCAGCATTTTCCCCTCCTCCTGAGCCCTTTCTGTGTTGTTTTCTCCCTGAGCAGTGAGAATAGCATTGCCACGGGAGTGTTTACCTGAGTGACGTTTTGCTCTTGGGACCTTTATGATTCCATAGAGGCTCTTTAGTGGGAGAGTTGTGGGGAAACAGGACTTTAAAATAGCTATATAGAAAAAGTGTGTGCATTTAATTTTTATAAATCACTTCACTGAGTCTAGGGTCTCCTTGTGCAAAAATACGGATTTAGAAACAATTCCTTTCCTCTCTTTATCTCATTATTCCAGAGAGTTGGTAGCTATCCACTGGGAAATTGGCAAAAACTAATAGCGAGGTTTTCTAGTACCCGGTGCTGACTTCCTATAGCAGCAAAACTTGTAAGGTCTGAGGGGATAATGAGAGAAACTAAGTTGTATTAGTTCTGATTTGAAGCTGCGAGCCAAGATGATTTGAGAGACATAAATACTTGTTTTATCTGCAGATTCTGAAGATTTCACCAGAATAGTTTCTTGCCTGAAGTTTCATACATTGCCAGTGGATAATAAATAGCTTTATGTAATTTTAAATGCTTATTATAAGAGCAATATGATAGGAAAAAATGGAAATTATAAATAAGCAAAGGGAAGAACCCCCCCCCCCCACCCAAAATTCCACTACTCAGAGATAGCCACTGGTAGCATTGCTTTGTAGAGAATGATTTGTAACTATTGACAGTTGCCACTTTTCCTTAGTCCATTTATGTAAATTAAGATGCCTATATGTAAATAGGGTACATTCCCTTGCCCAGAGATGTGTGTGTTACTTTTTGGGCCTTTGTGTTTCCTTAGTCTGAGCAGTGTTTGTTTTTATTCCAAATATTAACTTGGGCATTCGTTTTGTTTTGAAGTATTTCTGTAGCTTTTGCCACTACTCTTTACTTTCTTATGGTATAATCTAGAATGCTCAGGGCTGTCGCTCCGCCTGTTGGCGGAAGGAATCAATCCACAGGGATGAGGACTGGCCCTGAGGATCCTCCCTCTCCAAAGAGACCACAGTGGTTGAGGTGCTTTCCCTGGAAAAGCTGTTCCTTCCTTGTCTGTACTGCGCTATTTGAAGCTAAAATGTACAGAACCAACAACCAGGGGTGGGTTTTCAGTAGGCTCACTAAATCGGTACAAACTGAGTTCAAGGTACTTTATATGACATGTAAGACATACTCTTGGCCCTCTAACTGAGAAGAAGGGATCCCAGTTCATAAAAATGACCTCAATGCAGGGCAGCATACTGGAGAAACTCAGAAACAGTCACAGAGTCATATGATGCAACTTCTTATTTTATGCGTGGGCCCATTGTTGGGTCTCTGATAAATGGGTCTCCAGTCATGCATTGTTTCTGCTGGGGCAGTAAGATGGGCATAAGCTGAGACACAGCACAGGGTGGATTCAGGAATAATAACGTAGTCCAACAGCTAATATTTAGTAAGCATGTGTTACATGTTATGTAGGGAAGTAGATGCTCCACATGTTCACTTACTGTTCACAGAAACCCTTTGGAAAACATGCCGACATCTTCCTTTTACAGTGGAAACCCAGACTCAGCTAGGTTACCGCAGCAGTGGAGTGATGGAGCCACATTTCAGCCACAATTGATATGATTTGAAATCCCTCCCTCTTACTAACTTTGCAATGCTGCCTCTGGGCTGTATTCTCCGGAAGGAGCGGAGGTTGTTGAACTTTGTGACCGCTGGGAGAGGGCTTGTGTGGGGCCACAGGGGTGGGATAGCTCCTCCCTGGGGTGGGGGACACTTTGGAAATAAAGGAGCGTGTGCCTGCCCATGCGTGTCTGTCTTCTAGTATAGTCTCGTCTGAAAATACGTGTTTTATTATACAAATGTTTCTGTTTATTTTCTTTTACATTGCAGTTAAGGCATTATGAAGTTATGCCTATAAGTAAAATGTTATAATCTTCAAATTTCATTTTAGAATAATCAAGCGGCACTATAAAATATTTGTTATAAAAAGAGGGCATCGGGTTTGACAAGGTTGCGAACCGCATGTGTGGACAGTATACCATGGTAATGAAACTGGAAGGTCAGCTGGAGTCCATGTGTGTCAAACCCTGTATCCCGGAATGAGGAGCTTGGGCTGTCAGCCTTTAGCGCATTGTTGTCCTTAATTTTGCCCTCATTTGATTAGGGCGGTTTGCCTGCCTTTTTCTGTTTGCGCTTATATGGCACAGGTGACAAACACAAGGCCCCCAGACCGAATCCGACCCTCCACCTTGTTTCTATCCTGTGGCAGCGCCAAGCTCCTTACCCTAAGTTAAGGAGTAGTTACATGTATACAGTCCTAAAGTTTTATTTGGTCCTTTGAAGGCAACCACAAGGCTGATGGGGCCCCCGGTGAAAATGAGTTTGACACTGACACCCCTGCTTATGGTATGTCATGGGCTGTAATACTTCCCACCTGTGTCTCAGAATAAAATGAGTGAGTGTATTCATCTGCGAATAGTGATGCTTTCTGAGGGAATTCAAGTCAGGCAACATTTGAGCAATTTTTCCTCACTCTGGCAATCATTCCTCCTTCCCTAAACTAGGGTTACAAGTTGTTAAATACCTGTGGCTTTTAAGAAATAGCTCAGTCTGTTTTAAAAGCTCATGTATTCCTTAGGTGGCTTTTCTTTTTTCCCCATGCAGATGATTATCAAGGTTACCATTTGTTCCATGGTAGTGTTGGTGGGGGTTTTAGTGAAAGTTGTTTATCTAGGGCCAAGGTTCTCAGCCCAGGGTGGTTTTCCCCTCCAGGAACATGTATCAGTGTCCCAAGACATTTTTGGAGGCCACACTTGAGGAGTGCTAGGGGTCAGGGATGCTACTAAACACCCGGCAATGCACACAGTTTCCCACAACCAAGAGTTATCTGGCCTGAAATGTCAGTGGTGCCTGGGTCTAGGGTTCTTCACACAGATAATGGTCTCTGTAGCCCAGGCATTCCTGTGGGTCATCCCAGGCACAGCGAGTCTCTTCCTGTAGTCGAATGGGTCTGCTCTAGTGTTCCTTAGGGTTATTTTGCCCAATGGATCCAGCCCTGCTACTTTGGAATGTATATTGGAGAATGTACAGCATCGTCTTCTGCAGTAGAGGAAATTCTTAAGAAATGTTTTCCTTTGCAACATTTCTGCAGCACTCTTCTTAATTTGCAAATAGTAAGCCTGTCTCAGTTCTGTTTTTCAGGTTCCAAAACTGAATCTGGTCCAGGTCTCAGCCTTATCTTTAACCCTTGAATCTTTTTCAGAGATCCCTTTTTTCTGAATCTCAATTGGGATTTAAGCAACACATTGAAAGATCAACACAAAAAGCCCATTTCTGCTCTGGTGTCTTATTCATCGGATTGTCCAAAAGAAAGGGAAAACTGATTGGGACTGATAGGCTGTTTGAAATTTTGTTGGCAGTTTGAATGGCCATTGTAGGTTGAGGACTGTATTTGGCATTGTTTGAATCTTTATTAAATAAAACAAAATGGTATTAACAAGTGTGATAATTTATGCAGCCTTTAATCTAAAGGAAGGGGGAATTATAAATAGATGAACCTCAAGTCCCAATATTGGGCTGAGCATAGCAGTCTGTGTGTTGGGATTTTTTTAGTAACAGTCACCTTCTTAATTAGGCTTTGTCCAACCTAACGTTGCATACAGTTTGCACACATTGTGGCAGAATAGGGAGTTGGCGTGGGATTAAGAATTTCCCATAGGGAACTGGTTTGTAGTGAATCAGTCCATGTGTGGAAACACACAGAACTCAGTTACTGAGAGAGAAACCATGCTCTGGGGTAAGGGGCGATAGGACCCATCTGGGAAGGCAGAAAGTAGTTCATTGGGCATATCAGTTATTTTCTGACACAGTCCTACAGTATGATGGAGCAGGTGCAGGTGCTTTCTCAGAGCTGGGCAGGGTTAAGGAAGACCAACAGGGGATGATGAAACAACTCAGGAGTAGAGCCATTATTACTCTGAGGCCTGAAGGAGCCAGCCGGCGGGGGGTGTAGTTTCGGGAACCTTGGGAGAGCTTAGCTGTAGGAGAGGGTAACTTGTTGGAGTATAACCACTGCCAACCAGTGGCCTAGAAGGAAGGGAATCGAGGAATAAATACCTCAGACTCTCTCTTTTCCCACCCTCTGATCTCCTGCCAAAGCCTCTCATGGGTCAAACACAACTGGAAACCAGAAAAGAAGGGAGCCCCGTGAGGCACGTACATAGCAGAGCTGGAGAAGGTTGGGTGGAGGATCTGGAAGAGCAAAGGGAGGGTACCCAGCGTGCTGAAGTCAAAGTCAAGTTCTGAAAGGTACAGCCAGATGCTAGTTTCTGAGCAGAGTCTGGAATATTATAGAAAGGAGTGTTTTCACTGATAACAGAGGACAGATTCGGAGACAAAGTGTTGCCACAGCGTTGGCAAGCCCAGAGCTGCTTTTTTCACCTTAGAATCTTAACTGCCTTTAGAAATCCTGCAGTCCAGCTT